GCTCTTCGTCCTGAAAAGCCGCCTTGTTCCTTCTGCTCTTCGCGGGCGGGGGTGGGGCGGGGCCGGTCTGTCCTTCCTGGATGCCGTGCGCGCCTTGGGGGCGGAAGACGGCTCTCCTCTTGGTCGGGACAGTAAGCTGGGTCTCACAGCAAGAAGTGGAAACGCCAACTTCGGGTCGGTGGTGAAAGAGCTGCTTTCACCCAGCCGGCTCCCAGCCCTCCGTCCCGCCCTGGTGGGGCTGCCGCCGCCGCCCGCCCCTGGGGCCTTCTCGCCCGGAAGTGGGTCCTGACTTGAGCTGTGTTGTTTCTGCGTGTGTGAAGATGTCAGAGGCGCAGAAGGAGAGTTAAATGAGGGACTAGTCCCTCCGTTCTCAAAATCAGATCTAAAAACCATAACGCCCCCCCAGGTTTTAGGATGACAGCAGTCATCGCCAAAGGTATGGTGTGGTCAGGCGAGACATGTGCGGGTCGTTAGAACACCGAGCTGAGAGTTCTCATGTGCACGGCCCGCCCTCAGAGCTGCAAGGATGGTTGCCACTTGGCAGTGGAGAGAAGCAAAGCTCTTGCCCTAGGTCCCAGAGCGGGAGGCCGAGCAGCAGTCCCCAGGGCCCCAGCTAGCCGTCCTGTCCACGTGTTGGCCAGACCACAGCGGCTCACCCGGCCCCTCCCTGGCCCTGAGGAGCTGGTCCCATCCTCACCACGTTCGCTCGCAAGCAGAAGATGCCGGTGCTGGTGTGGGGGCCTGGGCATGGTGCGAGTCGGGGGAGAGACAGGGATGGCGGCTGCGGAGGGCGGCTTGGGTTCTTGTCTGCACCCCACATTTGATGGACTGCTGTCACGGCCGCTTCCCCCATGGTGTGGGTGGTGGGCTGGCTTCTCTGAGCCCCGTTCGCGTGTTCTTTCCTCTCAGCACGTGTTAGGGCTGCTCCTCCTCGCGTAGCCTGCTGCTAGTTTCCCTTGGCCACCCGGGAGACACATCTTGTGGAGGGCGGGCGGATTTCACAGCCCCAGCCTCCTCCTCTCGCCTTGTGATGGGCCGAGGCTTTCTGCTCTTCCCCCGGGCCACTGCGGTTTCTCAGTGGACGCGAGGACTCTCCAGCACCCTGCTCCGGACAAAGGCTCGGCCGCCGGAGCTCAGGACAGTGTCCGCGGAGTCCCTGGGTTAACGTCCTATCTCAGAGGAGGCTGCAGCCTGGAGAAGGATCCTTTCCAGAAGAGTTCCTCCCTGCATTCTTTTTTTTTTTGTAAGAGTTGGAGTCTCACTCGGTCACCCAGACCGGAGTGCAGCGGCCGCTCCCGGCCACCGCAGCCTCGACCCGCTGGGCTCTGGCGAGTCTTCTGCCTCCGCCTTCCGAGTAGCCGGAACTACAGGCGCGCGCTGTCACGCCCGGCTGATTTTTTGATTTATTGTAGAGATGGGGTCTCGCTGCCCAGGCGGGTCTCGACCCCGCGGGCTCAGGCCATCCACTCACCTCAGCCTCCCAAAGGCGCAGGATTACAGGCTGAGCCACCGAGCCCGGCCTCCCTGCATTCTTAAATGTGTGCCTTGGAGTCTGCTGAGAGCAGAGCAAAGGAGAGATGGGGCCAGGTCGGTGGATAGTGATGTAATTCACAGGGGCCCTCGCCAGAGTGTTGAAGTTAGTACTTTTCATTTTTGCCGGAAATGCGTCACCGTAAAGCATCTCCCTCTTTCAGAGGCGTGGTGTGTAAGGAAGCTTCTTACAAACGCACACACTCATGTCGGTGGGTGGCGCGTGCAGGTCCGTAATGGAGTAGGAAGTGCTGGACTGCTCACTGGGTGCGAGTGAGAGAGCTTGGATGCCTTACCAAGGTGGGACTGGATCTGAGAAGCAAGCGCAGGTGGCATGTGCCTTCAAGAAGGTACCTGAAACCCTGAGCGTGCCCTGCCCTGGTGGCACTGCCTCTGTGTCTAAGGGCAGCTGGAGCTGGCACCAGTCTCTTCCCTGGGGGTCTGTAGACTGGGGAGTGTCTTTTCTAAAAGACTGGCGTCCACTTGCGGCTTGTGTGTTGTCAGCACGCTGTGCAAGCCACCAGGCATGTGGACACGCAGCAGGACCGCCTACACGAGGGCATCCTGTGTGCTCCCTTCCCAGGCGCGGAGGGGACCCTTGCCTGTTCAGGGGCCACGGAGAGCCGTGTCTTCCCCCATGCCGTGTCGGTCGTTAGGGTTGGCTGCACCGGACCCACCTGCTGGTGTGGGAAGCCATGGTTGTGCGCAGCCTCCACTCGGCACATTGCAGGAGGGAGTGCCGGCCTGCTCAGCTGTGGCTGAGTTTCCTAGTTATGTTTCGCGTGTCGTGTCTGTTTCCTTGCAAAATTGTGTTTGAAACTGTGAACCCCTCAACTGAAACGTACACTTTCTCCCCAAAGCTGACAGACGGCTTCCAAATGAGAATGTGGTTCCTTTCTTTAAAATAGAAATTAGGCTAAAGGGAAGTTTAAAACGAAGAGTGGCAGCAGTGCTAGTATACTTCTGAAACTGACTTTCTGCTAGAGAAGGCTCTTTGTCACTGACGCCCTGGGCTGAGGACATCCGCCTGTTGCTCACGGGATCTGCTCTCGCTCCCAGGTTCGCCATCGCTGGTGCGAGCTCGTCGTCAAGCACAAGCACACGAAGGCGTACGGAGACGTGGAGACGTTCCTACAGGAGGACCAGGTGCGTTTGTTTTGCAGGAGAGGAGGATTCTGCAAAGGCTGTCCCCTATTTGTCGGTGTGCTTCCTCCAGGGACCCGTGTTCTGGGCTTCTTTCATACCAGAGAATGAAGTGTCATCCAGAGGTTTGTTAAGGACTAGGTAAGGCCTTGCCTGGCACTGTTTCTTGTGAGTTGATTGTCCCCTCTCAACGTCCTGCAAAAGCATCGAGTGCCCCTTAAAAGCCCCAGTTTCACGTGACCGCGGGCCCCACGTCGTCAGAGGAGCCTGCTCAGACCACAGTGTGGCCTAGCCAGGCCATGGTGTCCATCTGCCACTTTGGTGGCCCTCCTTTAAAGGACGTGTGCCAGTTGGCCTGGGGAGCCCCAAGGAGCTGGAACAGCCTCTTTCCTTGGCATCTGCCATCCTGGTCGACCCCGGCGCTGAGGGAACTTTCCTTCCTGTGAGCATATCTCCTGCTGTTGAATCAGAGGCTGTGCACCTGGGGACAGTTGCTGTCCCAGGAGCCCCCTGGAAAGTTCATGTGTGCCTGCATGTGTTTGGGGATGTCCTCATGGGCTGCCTCTCGGGTCTGTAGTGTGCATCGGGGTCACCGCGCGGGGGGTCCTGTGACGTTTCACAGCCTCCTGTGCCCCCCCGTGTGTGCTTCTGCCCAGCACTGTGGGCCGACAGAATGGAGCTGTGTGTCAGCAGGGGTGAGGAGAGAGGTCGGGGCGAACAAAAGGACTTTTGATGGGGTCCCAGTACGGGGGCAGCCAGCCGGTGAGGCCGGGGCCTCACCATTCCCACAAAGACAAGTTCACAACTTCGTGCCAGAAGAAATGTCGCATTTGCACAGCAGAGCAAGAGGGGTCTGGGAGAACATCTGGGGGTGTGAGAAGGACAGACTCGGAAGAGCACCCTCAGGTCTGTGCTGAAAACCGAGGCTCGGACAGCATATTCTGAACTGTGGCCTTTGCCGAATAAAGATCATGGTGTGTCTCGGCTGTTTTGGGGACGTGCTTTGGCCTGTCTTTGCACTTGTGCTGTCTGGGGACGCTTCTCTCACTTTGCTCCGGCAGAACGTAGCTCACAGCCTGACTAAGCTTGGAACAAGAGAACGGGTAGAGCCACAGGGGTCCTTTGGCTTCCAGAACATCACTGGCTTCTTTTATCTTCTTTCTTTCTCTTTGAGTCGGGGTCTCTGTCGCCCAGACTGTAGTGCAGCGGCCGCTCCCGGCCACCGCAGCCTCGACCTGCTGGGCTCCGGCGAGCCTCCCGCCTCAGCCTTCCGAGTCGCCGGAATTACAGGCGCGCGCCACCATGCCCGGCCCGGCTGTTGTACACGTAGGGAAGTGCAGATGCGAGGCCCTGCTGTGCTGTCCTCAGTAGAAGAGCGGTGCGGGCCGCGCTTGCGGGGCTGGCTGAGGCGCAGCGCCTGGAGGCAGGGGACGGGGGTCCGCCGGGCGCCGGAGAGCCCCTGCCGCAGGCTGTGGTTCGTGTCCTCCGTGAGCGAAGGACTTGCCGAGTGAGCTCAGACCAGCTGCTCCTGGGGCCACGCTTTGCCTGCGGGAGTCCCGCGTCCCAGCACTGCACAGGCTTCCTGCAGGGCTCACCCTGGGGACTTGCTGTCCGTGCCCAGAGCACCCCTGGCCCGCTCATCCCCGGGCCTGGGCTCACTCGGCATGCTGCCACCAGTGAAGTCGCCGGCGTCTGTGGCCAGAGCCGATGCTAAGAGTCCCATGGGGTTTTGATGAGAACGAGGAAGTGGCAGGGATTGAAATGGCGGATTCTAGAAGCGCAGCTGCCCGGGGGTCTGTGTCACTGTGGGATTTTTGTCGTTTCTAGGCCAGCAAGCGTGTGTGAAACAGGCGCGGACGGTGCGCACGCGCGTGTGTGCAGACACGTCCCTTCTCCTCACGCTCGGCCCCTGTCCCCGCAGGCCATGGGCGTCTACCTCTACGGGGAGCTGATGGTGAGTGAGGACGCTGGACAGCAGCAGCTCGCCCGCAGGTGCTTCGAGCTGACCCGGGCGCAGATGGACAGGTCCTCGGCCGCGGTGGTGGCTGAAATGCTGCTCTGAAGAGGTGATGTCTCCTTTCCGTTCTCCGTCACTTTTCCTCACCAGGCTTTCCCTCGGGAGCCCGGGAGCCAGCCGGCGGGCCAAGGCCCCCCGAAGCATAGGCGGTCTGCTCCTTCTCCAGGCGGCCTTGGAGCCGGCAGAGTGGGAGCGTCTGGCCGCCGGAGCGGACCCCGGAACGTCGGGATTGCCCACCTAGCAGGGCAGCTCCCCCGGGCTCCCTTCTGGCCACTTCGTGTTTGTCATTTATAGGATCGGAGGTTGTGGCGGAGCGTGTCGAGTCACTCAGGGATGGCGCGGACCCCACACTCCTCCGTGTCAAGGCCGGCCCGGAGCTCGAGTGGCCGTGTTGCCCAGACCCAGCCTCTGCGTGCGGATGCTTGGCTGTGAGCGAGCTCGGGGTTCCGCAGGTGGCCCCCACCTGACCCCTAGGGCTGGCCTGACGCCTCCACACGCACCGTGTGCTGGCTCGACGACCCCGTGTCGTGAGGGCCGGCCTTTGTACTCGTCGGGCTGGGGCCGAATTTCTCCCCCGGCGCAGGTTGGCGTGAGAGTCCTAGGTTATTAAAGTTGCTTCCTCTGTTCACCGTGCCTAGAGTTAGCTAACTCTGAGCTTTACCTCCTAGTTAGCCCGTTTTTAAATGGGGGCTTCTGCACCATTAGAGTGACTTAGCAGTGGCTTGTAACATGGGTAAGAATAACTGTGGGATCATAAGTGTATTTTTTTCTTTAATGTTTCTGTGTCTTCTCAGTTTTTCTTCAAGGCTTTACGTGCTGTAATAGGGCATGTCTAACTCGTATCTCCTTTTAAAAGACATAAAATCTCAAGCATTTTTTATGTTATATAGCTTCTCTGTAAATACAATTTTTATCGGATATTGAATATTTTGTGTCGATATTCTTAGCCTGTTGTTAGACGTTAGCCTGCTTCTCACGTTTTGCTCGTATGAAAACCCATTTCTGTCTAACTTGCTAAGTCGCTGGCTTGTTGGAAAGGACTTCAGCACCCCCCGAAGTACGACCACCCTCCCGCAGAAGAGTCGCGCCGTGGGGCCGACCGGCGGCGTGCGGACCCCGCCCTCCCTGGGCGTCCGCAGGGCCCGTCGCGCGGGGCCGAGGCGCCGGCCGTGGCGCGGCGGGCGCGCCCTTTCCCCGGCCGTCTCGCTTCCGGAGAGCCTGTGGGGCGCGAAGTGCGCGGCGCGCAGCGAGGCC